CCAAAGACGGCGTGTCTGAAGAGGCGCGAGGAAGAGAAGTCTGAGGAGGCGAGCGGTGGGGGCCCTAAGTTTGTCCATCACATGACTGCGAATCAAACTAATCCTAATGTTAATGCCATATCTATAGACCCGATGAGAATTTCAACAATTGTATGATTTCTCACATGTTTGAGTGCTTGAGCTGATGTGTGCTAACCTGTGCTCTGCTGTCTGTCCCTCCCTGTGCTTTAGGGTCCATCCATCACATCTTCAAGTCAGACACAATAATATTAATCTAATTTGTAAAATAAGAAATCGATAAAAACATATTCATTATTATTATTAATTCATAAATCGCTGCAAAAACCAATCCAATGGTCGCCAAACTTGAAGCCCAGACTATTGTGTTGTATTCGAGGCAATAGTCTGTGTTTTACATCTCAATCATTGGTTCTAATTGTTGACAAAAAGAAAGAATTGATATTTAATTGAATCGATTGGAAAACCATTCAATGAAATGCAAATTGAAGACCGTTTGGCCAAACTTTTCATTTAATATTAATCATCGAAATAATTATTAAGTCTTTATTATAAGTTAATCCGCTCTCTATTCTCAGTCTCTGTTCACTTGTTTTAAGTTAATTTAAACAATTCAGACATTAATTGCTTTATATTTTGCTGAAATTGGCATTTAATTTGTAATATTATTGCAATATTTTTAACGAGAATAATGTGTTCTTATAAAGACATGAATTTGATATATATTTAACGAATCGTCAAATCCTTTTTGCTATACAACTGACTGCTATTTCTGTTTACTCCTTCCCTTTCGCTCTATATATCCCTCTCTGTTGTTATGAATTATATTTTCGGTGTTATTATCATTGAATGAAATGAAAAATCTCTGTATTTAGTTATAATTGATTATTTATATAACATTTTTATTTTTATTTACCACTCATTACGAGAGACTGAAAGCTAAGAGCAAACGCGAAAGTATTGTTCATTTAATTTAAAACCCGATAAATTGTACTTAAAATACGATAAACCAAAAATAGTTTCCCTTTTTAACGCATATTTTATTTTCTCTTTCGACTCATTATAACTCATAATTTTATTAATTATTATTACTTTTTATTTATGAGAAATAATTATTGAAAGTATTTTGAATTTGTTCAATTCACCCATTTTTTGTGTCAAATTATTTAAAATAACAATTGTTTGAAATTTTATTATCAAATCCTTCATTCCATTTATCTATTAATTTAAACACTTTTTTAGAGTATTTTCCTTCAGTTTCTATTGAAAGCTATTTTTATTGATTTCAATTCAAAAGCTCTTTATTTTTAGTTATAAACAAAACGATAAATTGTGTGAAAATGATTATTAGCCCCAAATACTATGTTATTATTTATATAAAAAACTAATGTTTGGAAAATTATTTTTTATTTTCCTCAACAAAAAAGTAAAATCATTTGTCAGACAACAAAACTAACGAATCATTTCTCGCATTTCAGATATAACTGTAATATTATATTAATTAATAAAAATAAACATTTATTTAATACTTTATATTAAGTTTCATGTTTTATTGTATAACAATAGGGAACGGGTGTCTCATATCTAGGAGGGGTCCAACTGTTTGGCCAATTGTTTGTTCTCTAGTTTTATTTGCTGTAAATCCGCCAAAATTCGACTCAAATTGGAGGCAGTCTTTCGCGATCTCTCGGTCTCCACCTTTCATTTGCCGCACAAATAATTGATATTAGTTTTGGTAAATATTTGCACAAATTGTCGTCAATTCTCACCGATTCCTCCAATTGTCTGATTTCCCGGAGTATAAGACCGATGGCTGACACAGACTCGAGCAGTTGGTCGCAGTGTTCATGCATTGAAGCCAACAGTTTATAACACTTTCGGTTCCATTCGTTTTGTTTGGCGTCCTTTACATCCAAAGTAAGTCAAAAACATTTGTAAAGTTTTGCATAAAAATAGTCGAAACAAATGGGAGGCAAACAAACGCTTACTTTGAATATCTCTTCGTCGGCGACAGTGAAAGTTCGCGACAACTTTCCCGACAAGTGGTTGATCTCCTTCTGCAGAGATCTCGTCTCTAATAACACTTTCTTCGTCTCTTCGTTCTGCTTCTTAACGTTGGCCACGATTTCAAGTATTCGTTTGGTGTAAGAGCTCCGGGAGGGCGGCCACTGTTGCGGCATCTTTTCGGTCAACTCTTTCACTAAATTCTCTTTAACTTTGATTTCTTTCGCTTTCGAATTAATCGATTTCTTCAAATCCTTGAGCTTTCTCTGAAGGGCTGAATGTCTTTCGTTCTTAGCGTTTGATTCAACCATCAATTGTTTCAATTGATTCGACAGTAAGCCTTCAATCTTCAGCCATTCCTGTGATAATAACTCGATGTCTTGTTTCACATCATTCATCTGCGAAACCAATTCCTTACTCGACTTATCATTGGTTTCCAATTCACGCAATCGTTTGGTCTCTTCTTTCAACTCATTCTCACATTCATTGGCTTTGTTTTCAAACTTTTTATACTTTAATACCTCTTTTTCCAGACTTTTTAACTCATTTTCTAATCCCTCTATAATTACTTTGTATTTCTCTTCTTTATTCAGTTCATCGGAGGTCTGGATCTCATTCTTATCGACCAGTGATTCTGTATTCTCTGATCGCAAAGCATTGACTGATTCGTGCGGTAGATCTCCAACGGGACGGAAGTTTTGGTTAAGACACGACTCAATGGAAACCTTTTTAGACTTTACAAACAGTTGATTATCATTGGCCTCACTGTCCAAGTATAAGCAGTTCCACTCCATTATTGATGGCACACTATTTGGCAGTTTAAGACATTTGTCATAATATTTGCGTCGATTTGGCGCCACTTTGTTGACTAAAATTGGTTTAAAATTAACTGATTTTGTGATCGTCGTGTCGATGGCCCACACATTGCCATCGCTTCCCGAATCACTCGAAGCCTCGTCTGTCATGTATGGCAACCAAATGGTACTGATCTGTGCCTTCTTGAGACGACTTCGGATATCACTTGTGGTGAGTCCAGTGGTTCTCAGCGATGAGATTCTGTTCTCTTCGTCCTCTTTGGGAAGTTTTTCCAATAAAAACAAAAACAGTTTTCTTATATCGGATTCATTGCCGTAGAGGAATGTCTGGTACCCGATGTCCGCCTTATAGCCCAACTCCTGAACACATATCATAAACCCATTAAACATATCAATCAAATGGTCATCAAATGGTCAGTAAAATCAAATCCATTACGCGTTTGCAGACGTTTGCCAAATGAGTGGCCATTTTGTATTTGATGGACATATTCATCGACTCGTTGATCTGTTTGACACCTAATTCATTGCTATTGTTTGGATCAATCAGATGAATGCAATGGCAGACACATGATATGATCTGATGGACTTCGAGGTCTTTGATACCCGTTATCTCGTCGTCGATTTCACTGCAAGTAAAGCAAACTTTGGTCACAAAAATAGTCTTAAGATGAGAGAAGATGTCGAGTAATACCATCCAATTTCGCACAACTGTTGGATCACTATTTTGTCCACTTCTTCCATGTCTTCAGATAATGATAATGAGATGTAAATGAAGTGATGGTTAGACGCGAGTCGTCAATACAATAGGCGTTTAACTCAACGCTTGAGTCAAACAATCACATGAAAAACATTAGTGTTTGGGGTTTCGATAAACACCCGATGTTTCCAAACATATTCCCGCAATTATGGTTAGACGCGAGTCGTCAATACAATAGGCGTTTAACTCAACGCTTGAGTCAAACAATCACATGAAAAACATTAGTGTTTGGGGTTTCGATAAACACCCGATGTTTCCAAACATATTCCCGCAATTTGTTGCACTTTTGTCTTTAATACTTGTCAACGTAAATAAGTTTCAAATATAGTTTATTTTAGGTAAATTTGTAATGTAAGATTGTTTTCACATCTGTATATCATTGGATTTACCTTGCAATAAAATTAATTTGATTGCAAAACTAGTGGTAAATCCGGGAAAGTATATAGACATGAATAAGACATTGCGTTGACGTATACTGTACTTGGACCCTTGACCCTGCACTTTTTGTGTACCCAATGTGACTATTTGTAATCATGTAATTTAAGATAAATGTCATTTAATTAACATGTAATTACAAATTACTATCAAATATAGCAAAAAAAACTATTAATAGTCTTATTTATCGGTTGAGAAATAACTTCAGGAATTGGGAAAGCCTTCGAGAAATTGGTTATACTTTATGTACTCATAGTATCGCTTCACGCAAACACAAACTGTGGGTAAAACTCATATGTTTTGCAATAACTGTAATAAATCGCAACATTTAGTCACCAATTGATCGCTAAATTAGACTCTGATTTGCGTTCAATTAAGCGTTCATTCATTCATTTGCATACACTTTGGACACCATTTGATTGCATACAGTGTTTGTCTCAGCGTTTGATACACAGCTCGCACACAGCGCTTGTAAACGGGATTTGACTGTAAATTGAATGCAAATCAATGAATGCATTGAACAGAGAGTGAGATATGAATGAAACGATTGAAGAGTTTTTATCATTAGTTTGTCTTTCGATAGCAAATGATCTAAAAGTGGACTAAAGTTCAAGTGTTGTCTCATTACTGAAACCAATTCTCTTGCCATTCATTACACGCTTTCGAGCCATTCATAGCTCAAGAGTGAGACCATCGGCGGCCACAAAATGCTGCAACAGATCCGCAAACTCAAGATTCTTCGCGTCCTCTTCAGCCTCTCGTTCTTCATCTCCGGAATTATCATTAATTTGATTCAATTCTCGCTGTATGTGTCGGTCAGACCTGTCGACAAGAAGCTGTACCGAAGACTCAACTATTATCTCATATACACTCTGTTCTCACGTATGTATGCAGTGATCGTCTCATGGATCAGGTGCTCACCCATTGAGTATGTGTCTGATGTGTGTGTTATCTGTGCAGAGGTGGTGGCCATCAGCGAGTGGTGGTCTGGATCTCGGGTCCGCATGTTCTTCGCCGACGAGAAGAGTAGGGACTCTCACGCTGTGGACCACACGTTGTATATCATGAATCACAGGTACGAATTGGATTGGCTCTACGCCTGGATGGTTCTCGACAAGTATGAGTCGCTCGGGGTATTGACACACTATTCTTCCACTTCCTGTGCCCCCATTCACTCCATTATCTCAATATCATGAATCACAGGTACGAATTGGATTGGCTCTACGCCTGGATGGTTCTCGACAAGTATGAGTCGCTCGGGGTATTGACACACTATTCCTCCACTTCCTGTGCCGCCATTCACTCCATTATCTCGTTCACAGAGCGCCAAATCGTTCGCCAAGAAGTCACTCAAGTGGTTGCCTATCATCGGCTGGGGTTGGGTTTTGGATGAGTTTATATTCCTCGACAGAGACTGGAAGAAGGATTCGGTAACTCTGCCCAAAGCCTTGGATCAGTTGATGGCATACGAGTCGCCCATCGCTCTGTTGCTGTTCTCAGAGGGAACGCGTTTCACTGAATCCAAGTACGAGAACAGCATTGCTTTCGCCAAACAACGAGGTTTACCTCAACTCAAGTACCATTTGTTGCCGCGAACTAAAGGGTTTGCCTTTTGTGTGCAACATATCAAAGACAATTGTAATGAAATGATGGCAATATGTGTTTAATGAATGGCTAATGAATGCGATTGTCTTTTTAGATCCCGATGCAGTTATTTATGACATTCAACTCCGATTTGATGACAACGCCATACATTTGCCATCTTTGACATCCATAGTGAGAGCCAAACCCTTAAGTGGAGACTTATATTTGCGTCGAATCCCTATCACTGATGTGCCCACAGATACAGAGGAAGACATCAATACATTTCTCTATGATTTATACCAGAAAAAGGTTCCCTTTATTAGACCTGAAATTGTTGTCATATACGGTATAAGCAGTGTGTACTGTGTTTTAGGACGATCTGATGGAATACCACCAAAAGAACGGGAAGTTTCCGGGAATTCTAGTCGAAAAGTCCCGAAGAATAGCGCCGCTAATCAATTGGATGTCTTGGTTTGTCTTCGTTATGATCTCTCTGTCGTATATTCTGTTGAATGTGTTCGCGTCTGGGAATCTATATCTAATCATTTCGACGACTCTTATCTTTGCATTCGGTCAGCATTTTGACATCACTTTTAACAAACCATTTGCCAAAAAAGTCTTCATATGTTATAATTTTATGTTTTGTTAAATAGCTTTGGGATCCGTTTATATGATGATTGGTTCGACTAAAATCAAAAAGGGTTCAAAATATGGCACTAAAAGCGATAACCGAAATAAAAGTGATTCCCAATTGAATCCAAATAACAATTTAGATAATAATTCGAGTTTACGGAAGCGTTTGAATGAAAACAATACTTCAGAATCTATAGAGAATTGAAAAGCTACAAAAAATACTATGTTTTTATTGACAATTTATATAATAATTATACCATTTATTTAGTCCTAAACACAATCCAAAGCTCTTTTTTGTTGTTTTGATTTGCATTTAAGGAATAATTTATTTTATACTTTGGTTACAAATCTACTGTAATTCACTGTCTCTTCTATTGAAGAGCTTGTTATTGAGTTTTGAAACTCAAATCTAATATACATTAATTGATTTTGTTTTTTAATAATAAATAACTCATATTGATATAATTTGATAGCCGAGAGGTGCTATAAATAGTAAGCAATTAAACCATTTGTTTTATTTTATCATTTGTTTTATCATAGTATCAAAATATTGTTTATACAATTGAATGCTTAAGAATGAACACAAGCAAACTGTCCAATTGATTGCATACTTATATATTTTGATTACTTAAATGAATCATTAAATTGTTATTTAACTCATTTCATGATTAAATTATTGAACAATTCTTGAAGACCGACAGAAGTACAACCAACGGAACAATGGTATGGATTGTGACTAAAAATGAAGGCATACAGTGGACGGCATTTTATACGTGAATATGAAAAAATGAACACGGTAATTTACCGGTTATTATTAAAGGGAAGTATTCAACAATTAATAACTCAAATGTTTGGTTAACAGATATTCTATGAATTTAATTGTAATCAAAATATACAATAAGTCTTAATCGATGACAAAAAAAATTAATTTAAAATATATTAATAATTACATTAAAGTGAATGGTGTGTAAAACAAATAATTGATTTAACAAATAGTCTAATAAATACAAAAATGTATAAATTTATAAAAGTCGATAAAAACAATAAATTACTAAATAATTTACGTAATAATTGCAACTAAATGGAGATGAGAGCTGGCGATCACTTCTTAGTGGTTCTCTTCCTCTGAGGCTTTTGTGGTACGAGTTGTTGCTGTGTTTGTTGCACTTGTTTTCTCAGAGCATTCGTGAACTGTTGCTGTGGTGTAAGTGTTTGCGTCGGGTGTGGGTTGGCCTGGATTTGCGTGAAAGTGGTGGTCGACGACGAGGGCGCGTATGTATGCGGTGCTAAGGGTCTTAAGAGTGGAACTGTGGGCGCACTACTCATCTGCAACAGTGAAACCTGAGGTCCAGTCGTACGTATTTGACCCGTATTTTGCTTCAATTGGTTTATGAACTGAGCGTTCAGTTGATGAACGCCTAGACTTCCAGCCATTCCTATTGGAACCGACAGGACATTACTACCGGCCGTACCCGTCGACATGAGCACCGTAGTGGGGGCCGTAGAGTACGTGACGGTCACGTTTTCGTGGTCTTTAGCATCAGTTTGGTCCAGACTCACGATCATAGAGCCAGGGGTTGTCATTATTGAGGGCTGTGGTCCCGATGGAGTCGACATCATAGTCAGTGATATGGGAACCGCCAGCCCCTGAGGGGTCAGCGAAACCAAGTTATGTAAGCGAAGGTTTTGCTGAACCGGCGCTAGACTCAGACTCGCGAGACTAACACCGGTTGGCAATGGAGTCGATGTGGTTATCGACTGATGACTGGTGTCCGCGCACTCTATTTGCTGAATACCTTTAAGTAAATTATATTTCAGACTCAGATTGGGTTTCCATGAAAAGCATTCAATAATAAAAGCAAATAAAACCGATTAAACAAATCACATAAAAGCTGAACACAAACGAAAGCAAAAGTGAAATGAAAAGAAAGTGCATTCAAATGAGTTTTGAGGTGAAGAATAGGCGAGTATTAGTACTTTTAGTGATTCCCGAAGTAGGCGTGAAAATGACTGCAAGCGCTGATTCGGGAATAGGTGTCGAACCAGTGGTCGCGTGAATGCCAGTCGTAAGCAAAGGGGAAGCGATTGAGTCAGTCGTGACTTTATTTGGAGGCGAAAACACTTTTGGAAAGCGGTTTATATAAGAGTAGAGTTCGGGTTAGAGAGCGAGTCATGATTGCTATGTTGACAGACATGTCATGAAGGGATGGGCACTCACCTGCGGGTATTGTAACGGTTTCTGGCAGTTTAGGAGTGACTATTGGCGCCAAAGGCGTCGGAGATATGATGGGACTCTGCAGTAGAGACGTTGGATTGTGTGTAGGACTCGCTTCAATGGCAACTAATTTAGGCTTTTTTGGTGGCGTCGCCCCAATGGTTACAGGTATGGTGTCGTCTTCGAGCATCTCTTTACTGGCAGTGATTGTCAATCCCTGAGCGGTGGCCGCCGGTGTGTAACTGATTTGAGGCACTTGTCCCGCGATTGTGTGCACTATTTTCACCGATTTTCTGCCATTTTCTGTCAGAATTTCGGTAAACTGTTCGACATATCGTTTGGTCGACTGTTTTGTTCCCAAACAGAATCTGAGGAATAATTATAAAATAAATTAAAAACTCCTTTTTTGTTGTTAAAAAGACTATTATTTATGGCTTACGTAGAGGTGGATCCCCTGAGATGTCCCTGTCTATCAATGACCAGTTGTCCAAAATATGTGTCATCAATAGGTCGGTGAAGAATATTAACTGATGTCAGGGATCTTCTATTATCATCCATAAAATCCATCTTATATTCCTCGACCTTAATCTAAAATTAAGTGAAAAATTATTAAACATTTCTATCAATACTGTAAAGTAAGAGACAAACCAATGAATTGTCAGCAATGATGTGTGGTTTTGGTAACTCTTTGGCCACTTTGTCCACTCCTATACTCTTAACAGGAATTGGTTCGTAAATTGCTTCACTTGTATTGATATTAATCTGAAATACAATTTATATAGCATTTAATACATTGTAACAAAACAATGAAATTCATATCAAACATTTGTACCGATTTATTGACTTTTGATTGAGAACTGCTTTTGGTATTCCTCTTCTTCAGGAACTCATGTAATCTAAACATCTTCGGCGCCGCCAACGACTCAAACTTCTTCACCCGATTGACGGTCGTCTGCGAGCACTTCTTGGACAGTCTTAAGGGTTTGAGAGATGAACACATTATTGAAAACAATCTGTTTTAAAGAATATATCAAATAAAATAATAGACTTCAAGAAAGCGCTGTCTCTGAACATCCGTTTCTTTCGCCACAACTTGTTGGACAGTATGGCCACCGAAGGGCTCGGATCGAGACATAGGTTGGGAGAAGTGGCCAGAAGTAGCTGCGCCTCGAGTTGAGCTTTATCTTCATTGGTCCACAAGTACTCATCGCTCGAGTTATTGATAATATTGATGACATCGTTGGTGAGACTCTGAGTGCTGGGCCGCAGAAGAACCCATTGGGAGGAGTAGTGGTGAGAATGAGACGGCGCTGACCGGCGATAGTCTCGCACTTCGAAGATAAGACATCCGGTTTGGAAGAGATTGCAGTTCACGAGCGGCGAGTTCTCGATGAAGTCCACCAGAAATGGGGGCAACTCTTCGTTGTCGATGTAATCCAATAACTGGTTCTCATCGTATGGCAGACGCATCGTCTCAATCACACCATCCGTTTCCGACAACTTCACGCCTATTGTGTAGCCATCGGATCCGCTCAACAAACTCACCACCAGATGATTCAACTTCTCCCTCAACACCAACTTCTTCAGCACTTGGGAACCGGTGTTCAGATTCTGCATAATATATGGTTTGTCGTCAAAGACACGGATTTTTGTTAATTTAAAGACAAAAACCTTTTGTTTATTTGATTTGTGTTTCTCTTCGACCAACAGATCCAGAAGTCTTTCATCGATGGACTTGTTTTGGTTATATTTGGTGTCTTTGATGTCTTTGGGTCGCAGTTGTGTCCAATCGTTTTGAGACAATTCAAAGAAGTGCTAAAATAGATGTCCAAAACATATGATAATAAATGGTTAAGTGATCTATGGATTGGTGTCTCACTTCAGCCAAAGTGAACATCTGATCCACACTTTTGGACATTGTTTTCATTGATAGTGAAGGACACGGACCGACCGCTAACTCATTGATATACCCCTTAAATACTCGTTAATTAAAAACATGTCTAATATTGATATGAAATGAATAAAAGGTTTATAAAAGTGTCATCAATTGAATCAATTGTTTCACACATTGTTTTTGTTTACATCCAAACACTCATTCAAATCATAATACTGTTCACTGTTTTGTGAAACAATTCACTGCTCATTCAATGCCATTTATAACACAAATTACGGATACATTGCATAACAAAGTGTCGCTACTTTTGCTCCAATTCTTGGTCAAACATTGCATTCAATTATTCCGTGCTTTGAGTTCAGTATAAAGTTTTGTCTCATTGTTACACTGTTTGAGTTTTAAACTATTTGTGTCTCATCAATAATTATTAATGTGTTTAATATTTTGTAAATTTTGCCCAAATTTAAGTACATTACGTAACAACAAGTACTTATAATAGTATAACAGAATTTACTAGAATATTATGTATAATATTCATTTATTTTAAGATATTTGATAAATATAATTTAAATAATGTAGTTAATTGAAACTAAGAAACCTTTAATCATAAAAATGCGATGTTTATTGGATTAAAGTAAATATTGCTAATTTGTTTGATTAAAATTCAGTTATTTCAAAATTAGTGTCAAGTCACTACCAATTTAATAACTATGTATAATAAGTTGTGTAGTCTATATGTTATATTCTGTTAATTCATATAAGTTTATATAAAGTGCAGGAATTGTTGCGACAATTAAGAAATTCAAACTCATTGTACTTTTCAATGAAACTTTGCAGCAATTCTTATGCACTAATACTGTACATGAATATATGAATATGATCATATAAATTTAATAATAAATTGTTTGAACTAATTGCACTACAGTCAATGCAGTAAATGTGATAATTTGTACAAACTTTGTACTCGATGTTAGAAAGTGTTGCTTTTAATACAAACAATTATTTAATCTTAAGTAAAAGTTGTTGCGATAATAATTTGAATTGAGTGCTATAAACCCAGACTTACACTTTTTGGAGCAATTGTTTGCAATACACACCTAAACTGTTATTCTGTGTTTGCTTTTTAATACAAATAAAATCACACTTTGATTAATACATTAGATGTGAATTCACGTGCAATGGTTTCGTACAATAAAAGTATTGGTTTACTAAATAACTTCAAATATATTACATCCCTAGTCACTGGAGTGATTGATTATGAGGTTAGACCATTTATTTATTAATTCTTTGAATTCTATAAACTAATTATAAATTCAAACTATTACATTGCGATAAAATTATACTTGTAATACTTGTATTTGCTACTCCTGTATTAATTAAGCAAAACAAATATTTTAAAGTAATTCAACCATTTTCTAGACATATTTTATTATCTCATTAATTAATTCCAATCATTTGCATTACTTTACAGAAATTGTTTATTTACTATTAATATTTAAGTTAATTTACTAAATATTATTAGGCTCCATTTATACTACATTAACTTTAGTATCGCTAACCCATTCATTATGAAACTTCGGTATATTATTAACAAAACTAAATATTTCACTTTAATTCATATAATTTTATTTATGCTAATAAATTGCATTGCTAATTAATTTTGCATCTGAAAAATAACATTCTCGTTAACATTCAAATAATAGACATTTCCTATCAATTCTTAATTATATTAAAATTTGAAAATATTCCAAGTTTTATAGCAAATAAATGATAATTATAATTTTGTGCACTGGTTGCAATAAGTTTAGAACTTCACACGATACTATCCATATTTGAATTCAATTACTGTAATATTAAATAATATTTCTGTAAATAATATCTATTTTAGTAGTTTTATAATATTTTGTAAAAATTTTACGAAATATTTTACTTTTACTATTTCATAATTTGATAATTTTATGATTGCTATGCTTTTCAATATTTATTATTATTTATTATCCTTGAGTTTATTATCTGATGACTAGTTTTTAAATAAATCTTAAAATTTAAATATATAATTCTTTAATTATTCTAATATTTGTATTAAAAATTTTAATTTAAAATACTAAATATTATATGACTGAACATAGCGAAAGTCTATAAAATTTGATGTATTACAAACTTATGTCATTTGTATATTGGTTTGTGCTTGCTAACATTATTATTTATTTGTAATTATTTTAAAATTCACTATAATACAAACTTGTATCACTCTGCCTGAATTATATTGCAATTCTAAAATGCAAGTCCAAATTGTAATTGAAGTTATCATAGCTATAAATAAAATAAATGTCTAATCTATTGATGAATATGAAATTGATTAATAATCAATGATTATACAGTATATTTATTTCACCACAAATTTCAATAATTACATAAAACGCTGATTTATATATAGAAAAATGTGACAAACAATACAAACGATAAACCGAAAGTCAATAAAACGAGACAATTGAATGACAAGACTTTGCACCGACAGCCACCCTGGCATATTACCCTGAGCTGTTATCTCAGTTTTGCAATTCTTATATGCTTTGGATATCTGCGAGACTTTTTGACATACGTTGGCTTATATACCAATAAAACGATTGTGGAGTCAAACAGACAAGTGATTAACTAATTGATAAGACAATTACAACAAATATGATTAGTGACTCATAAATGCAATTTTATGACATATTTAGGGCTATACCAGTTTGTACGGCACTTTCCAGAGCTTCTTCACCCGACATGTTTACCGGAGAGCAGCCGATGCTTTCAGTCAACCTATCAGTTCAGTACCGGGAGGTCACGTCCATGTATTACAACGACACTCACCTGATTATAACTATACATTTAGGTACTAATTAGTTAGCATATTAGTTATACACGGATTTGGTTTATTATAACTACATAATTACTTATTTACGAATAATACAATATTTAGATATAAGGAATAATAGGTTTAAAATCAACATCTTGGCATAAATATTGTTAATTAATTAGGTTAACAGGCAATGAATTCAATGCAATTAATTTGGGTTCATATAACTATTTGGGTTTCGCACAAAATAATGGCTCCACTACTGATCAGGTCTTACAAACTATTCATAAGTATGGCATAGGGATCGCATCCACTCATCATGAATTAGGTATTACTTTTTATTTTATATTAGAGTTTCTTACTAACAATCTATTTACTGTCTATAAATTAATTAACTTATAATAACAAATTTGTACAATCAATTAGGGAAACTGTGCATTCACATAGAGTTAGAAGAATTATTTGCCAAGTATCTAGGCGTTGAATCTGCTGTTGTATTTGGTATGGGTTTTGCCACAAACTCAACAAATATAGCAGCGCTTGCAGGAAAGGGATGTCTTATTTTAGGCGATCAACTGAATCACGCATCACTTAAATCTGGAAGTTATATATCGGGCGCCACTTATCGCACATTTCGCCACAATAGTTAGAAAAATGTCAAATAAATGTAATGTTTTGTATTAAAACTTTTTTCATTAAAGATATGAATGATTTGGAGGCAAAAATCAGAGACTCCATTGCAATGGGAGATACAAAGACTGGACTTAAATGGAAAAAGATTGTTATAATTGTTGAAGGGGTGTATAGCATGGAGGGAACGATAGCTAATTTGCCGGAACTCATAAGACTGAAGAAGAAATACAAGTGCTATCTCTATGTAGACGAAGCCCATAGTATAGGTGCCATCGGACCCAATGGTCGCGGAATTACCGACTTTTATGGTTGTGATGCCAATGACATTGATTTACTGATGGGAACATTGACTAAAAGTTTTGGAGCGTCGGGAGGTTATATAGCCGGTCGCCGGCATATCATAGACCACATCCGCACTCATACTCACAGCTCGTACGCCACGAATATGTCGGCGCCGATCGCACAACAAATTATATCAGTCATCAAAATACTGATGGGAGAAACGGACGGAACGGATGGTATTTTTGCTGTCAATTGAATCAAACTTTTATTAAATTATTTTATTCACAAATTAAGGTATTGAACGAATCGATAGATTATCTAAAAACACAAAATATTTTCGCAAAAGACTTAAAGAGATGGGATTCATAGTGATGGGCGATCCCGAGTCACCTGTTATTCCGATTATGCTATACTTTCCGTCAATGATATCGTATTATTAAAAATACAATGATTGCATATATTTGAATATAATTAATAATTTTTTTTCAATTTAGACCATTTGTACGGATGAGTATGGAGAGAGGTATAGCGACTGTAGGTGCTGGATATCCGGCCACTACTCTCACCACAAGTAGAATCAGATTCTGTATGTCTTCGGCACATAACCAACAAATGCTTGATAAGGCTCTTCAAGTGATTAGTCAACTCGGAGATGAATTCAGTATTAAATATCTTAAGAGTTAGTGAACACTAAATAATTCAAATAATGATAATTTATCGAAATAAAGAATGTAATTCTTATCTAGATCACAATTCTTATTAATTAGCTGGTAATTAATTGTTTTAATGGCAATTGTTTGTTGTATTTTTGAAGAATTAATAAAACAGAAATAAAGCCCTGAAACTAAATTATGAAAATGCATTTAATTCTGTGAATTCATATCTTATGATTGATATTTTACTTATTAAGTGATGTACCGTAATACTTAAGAAATTAGTTTGTAGGCTATCATTTCATTTGTGTGCTCAGAGTCTATACCAGTAACCAGTAAACCACTGACTTTCCCGGGTAAATACGTGAATATTTTACTTATTAAGTTATGTACCGTAATACTTAAGAAATTAGTTTGTAGGCTATCATTTCATTTCTGTGCTCAGAGTCTATACCAGTAACCAGTAAACCACTGACTATCCCGGGTAAATATGTGTCCACTTATTATTATTTATACGGTATATAAACAGTTTTGTTTCTTAACTCACAATATTCTGTTTATAGGTTTAGATTTAAATTGAGATATTTTGTCAGTTTTATAGTATAACGCTAAAAATAAATTTACTTTAAATATACTCAATTATAAGATTTAAATGGTTATAGCAATAAAAGTACAGAATATTCTGTATTCCGGATACAAATGGGTATAAAATAGAGAATTGAATGCAATGTGAATGCATTGACTGTTGGATGCATAGAGCGAGTGGAGAGTGAGTGCCATCTCTTGCCCTCAAATCACAACTCATTTCACATTTGTTTTCACAACACATTTGCCATCACTTGCTCTCAACGATCAGCCAATTATCACCGCAATTACCACCGCTGACTACCACCACCGCCACCACCAACGACCATCACCATCACGATGTCAGCCTCCGTGGACTTAGAGCTGAAGAAGGCTTTCCAAGAGCTTCAGGTGCAGGTGATTGAGACCAGGAATCGCGTCAAACAGATGGACCTACAGATGGATGCGCTGAAGAGGTCGTCCCAACACTCGCGGATCACATTAACACAACTCAATGATATGCCAGAAGACACGCTTATGTATGAGTCGGTCGGACGGATGTTTGTGTTGAGACACAAGAGTGCCATCAATCGACTCTTGGAGGACAAGGTCCTCACCAACGACGAGAAGTGCAAACAATTGTCGCAAAACAAGACATACAATGAGAGCAAAGTGAAGGAGTCGGAGAACAATCTGCGGGAACTGATCAACACTAAGAAACTGAACCCATGATCACCACATTGTCATCGCACGCCATCAATGAGATTGTCTTATACTATGAATAAGTGTTTTATGCATTCATTTTGCATCCAAACAGTGATGTCTTTATAGGGATTTGTTTTAATTATATTTAATTGTATTTTATATATGAATTAAAATATAACTTAAAATTATTTACAATTGTTTGTAATGTTTAATTAGCCAATACTCCAGTGTTTGGTGTGTTTGCCACAGATGTCCACAAAATATCACTCAAAAGTTTTGTCAAAAACTATGGTATCATTAAAATTAGACAAATTTTATGGCCTAATCTAATCGATAGCTTAATGTTATGTAGATTATATTAGTTGTGTTTATAGTTAAAGTAAATGATACCATTAGTTATAAGTAGACTGCAGTTTATTAATGAATACAACTAATTGCCATTCATTGCTATATAAGTCAATAGAATATTCTGCGACTAAAGTAATGCCGGCTTATTATACCTGAAGACATGACCGACGCTATAATGAGACAAACTTTCGATAATTATAATCCTGGACTTAATTGTTGTTTTTCAAAATAAATTGACAGTATATTCAAAAACTTGACACAAATAATCTCTAACCTCAAAGGTATGCAATAAAAGTAAGAGTTCTCACACACTATTAATAGGATTGTTATGAATAATTTCAAGAAAATATGATTAGACTTACAAACAGAGGTAATGTCTAAATAATAGTCGGTTTTTTACCTTTGAGAGAGAGAGAGAGAGAGAGAGAGAGAGAGAGAGAATGTATTAATGATCTTAAGTCCTAATGATTTTTAAGACTTTGTCTGAGTGTTGAGCTCTTGTTCACTTGTTTTCACTATATATTTATGAGTCGGTAATGAATTCATACTTTTCCGCTCAAAAGACATTTGCACTAGAAATTATTTGAAACATAAAATTATGAAAACATGAATAACTTACAATTTTAAATATAACGAATAGAGTATCTATATTATTGAGATCTAATAGTTAAGAATTGGGAAAGTTTTCATGAATTGTCTTTTATATTATATTTAGACAACACAATAGAGTGTCTGTTTGGTTGAAGTTATTGATTGAGCGTATTATTGCACTTTCAAAGTTTGAGTTAAATTCAAATCAAATATTTGCCTGCTTATTTATATGAAACAATACAATAAGATTACTTTGTTTTGACGCTTACAGTAACCTTCAATAAAATCAAAGTCAATTCAAATATTCTATATATTTGTATATCGTATGATACCTTAAAATTTAATTATTCATTTATAGAATTATGTTATATATTAAAAAGCAATAACAATAAAAATATTTAAAATGTAATAAAAAGTTTTATGAAGTAATGATAAACTTTATTATGAAAGTAATATTATAATTAGCATAATGTTTGATGCAATAAAATAAATGTCTTAAATATTATATAATGAGTTATAGTGTAATACAATGTGTGGTCTCAATGCTATCAGTAATATCTATGTAACCCATGATTGCTGTGAATGCAGACATAATTTCGCAAATAATAGTAGTTTTGCTATATTTTTAGGTTAACCATAACTTCTAGACTTCGAGTCATAATAATAGTAAAAAAATATTTTTTGGTTATTATTTTATAACAAGAATTGTCTGAATAATTATTGTGAAAAGCGATACGTCTCTCTCTCTCTCTCTCTCTCTCTCTCTCTGTCCCTCTCTCCGGCTAAACATTGAGATACAGTATATAATCATCGGTTAAATAACTTGCATAGCCTTGAGATGAAAGTCAAATCATTTTTTCAATTGCATTATTAAACTGAAATTAGGGTTTGGTTTAGGGCTCCGGTGTTATTGAGGAGCAGAGAAAGTGAGAGAAGAATCTCTGAAAAACCAAAAGCCATTCAAATCGTTGTCCCAAATATTGAAGAGAAAGAAATGGCATTAGAGTCACAAAACAAGAAGAGAGAAGTCGTAAAAAATATGTTAAACTCATAATACCGTAGAAAAATAGAAAACACTTTTTCTCAAAAGTATTGCCAAAATGTTTTTGAATGCATTTTTTGAGGCAAACTCATCACATGAGAGAGAGAGAGAGAGAGAGAGAGAGAGAGAGAGAGATTTATGTATTAAAGAAATTTGGGAACAAAATTAAAAAATTGTTATTTTGTGGAACTGATTACTGGTTCGGCATAAAAAATAAGTAAAATTAATGCTTAAGTTTTTTAGAGTGTAATTTTTAATCATGAACTTACAGTCCCTTAGAAAACTGTATTCTCTGCTCAACCCTATCCCCTCTATCCCTTTACCCGATCCCTAAACACAGGTTTTCGAAATCATTTGCCGTTCCCTTACTTTGGGGCACACTTTCAGACAAATATAAAGAAAAATTAATTCAAACATAATTTAACATTTAAAACGATACTCAATGAATCACATGAAAAAATGTTGTGAGACTAATTTCAGACATTACCAGTGATATCATATTGAGAGCACAGGTATGTAGACATAATACAGGAATGCACTGTGAAGTCGATAAAAAAAGGTTGTCTAATGAGTGTCTTTATCTTTAAAATCAATTGAAAGGGAATAAAGTGAAAGTAAATGATATCTAAATATAATTTAAAATCTATAATGATATGAATGATACCGAAGCAAAAAAAGGTGTCTCATGTATACCGACAGATAAGAAATCAATTGAACTTTTCGAAGCATATTATTATGAAAACCACTGAAGAGTTTAGTTAATAGAAAATATACAACCCTTTTGTGAAAACAACACTATTATTAAAATAGGGTTCAATTGTGTCCACAATACGATCGAAAGAAAATTGTTTGAAAACTTTTTATTGAATTAAGTCATCAACTGTTCAGGTGAAGCGTATAAATCAAATTTTATGCATAAATGTAAACAGTTTTTTGTGCGAAAAAATATATTAATATTTTACAGAATTTGTGGTTCATTTGAATGTCATTTTATATTCAGAGCAGTATATCTCATATGAAGGCATATGTCGTTATAATTCAGGATTTTATCAATAAATTAAATTTAAGGAAAGAAAAACAAAGTTTCTGATGATTTGCATTTCAGTGGTGGCCATACATATCAAAGGCATTTCTCCATTGACTTAACGCACACAACATAATGATGACTGAATTATGTAGTTAAGCACCTGTCCAGTCATTGTAGCGCCCATTGTCTGGACCGACAGTTTATTGGCCCTAAAGCTTAATATTTTTTAAAGAGAAAATATTTTTTGGCTTCACAATTGAATAAATAAATAACTGATTATCTTATCATAAGTTTTATTCAACTTTTGGAGCATTGAATTAAAGCAATAAAAATCACAGACAAAAGGCATCACTAGGTTTTGGTATTGTCTTCCCAGTCTTCAAGATCTGGTTTTTATGATGAAAACCATAATTGGGTGCCAACTCTGGTATCGTTCACATGAAATAATCAAAAATGGGAAATATTTTCTGGCAAATCTCTCTCTTTTACTTATGGAGACATGAATTGTATTAAAAAAGTGATTTCATTGTCAAATGAAAACCGAAAGTAAAGTAAATAATAAAAATAAACGAGATTTTGCTAGACTTTTAAGTACATAAGACATTCATTACTTACATAATAATAGATAACATAATGAAAGGGAAATATAAAATAAAGTTATTTTCTATGCCTATTGTATACGAAAAAAGTAATAATAATTGTGTGCGAAAACAAGTGAAAATAGAAAATTAAAAAAAGTAATATAACAGAAAGATATACATTTGAAATTGGGATTTGCTTGGAAGGGGATCATGATTTTGTGGGTGGGTTTCAGTGGGTTTTCACATATAATTATAATCTCTTTATGGACTGATTGTGTGTTGATATTGTGTTTCAGACGGCAAACAAAACGGTCGGTTAGACCGAAAGCTGGCGTTTATTTTTATACTTATTTTTCTCTCAAAAAAGTCTTATTTGTATTTATTGTTCGGTTATTCACTTTTCTGACTGCCATTCGTGCATATATTGCCTAATAGTGAACATTACAGTAGACTCTGTATACAAGTGCTCGCAAACAACATTCATAAGACTTTATAAATTGTGTAAATTTGGTGCTCATTAATGAAAACAATTTGTAAACCAAAGGGTTGTTAAACTTAATCTCTTATTTTTGTTTTCCACTCGTAGCCAACTTCTCTGCCATTTAATAAATTATTAATAATAATATCTAATGAACCCAAGCGTCGGCTGTAATTAGAGTCGAGTCGAGTAATAACAGTCCTCTCACTCGGCTATTAGTCTTCCTATTAAAGCGAATCTCCTATTTATAAAAAGCTTTTATAAAAAGCTTTTTTAATTAATAAATACTTAACTCCCGAAAACATAATAAGATTTATAGCTTAAGGTTAATCAGACAGACATCGCGAATGGTATCGATGTATAGATTATAAGGAAAAAGTTTCATTTGGTTTCAATTGAAAAAATCTTTATTATTAAATGATTGATAGCACTCTATTTTGGTGGCAAATTATTTCGTAGAGATATTATATGAAATAATTAAAACTTTTTTGTAATCATAATGAATAGAATAAAAATTTATTATATTTGCAGCCAGAAAAAACAAGTTTTGGCTCAAAAATATTTATTGTTATTATGAATGCGTTTCAGTAGTCATTCAGTCACTTCTGTATTATACAGACAGTTATAAATTGAGTTAATGACAAATTAAAAGTTAATTCAAAATATGAATCCATAACTATACCGCATCATAGAGTATACGAGTATACTATACGGTCTGACAAACCATTGGACTATAATTTAAGCAATTCTTGAGAGGAAGTGTTCACTTTTTATATAACTCTACTGTTAAGTATAACATTACCTGTATGTAGAAAAGTGTATATCAAAATAATTACAAACAATTTAAGCAAAGCAAAATGTAATTTTAAAGTATATATTTTTTTAATAATAGTTTTAATAAAAATAATAAGTTTATATACATAATGGTTGGGTGGAACTGATGCACAAGTATTTGTGAAA